GAGACACGATGTTCCAACACGTGTGCAACATTTGGCCTTTGTTAGCAGACCATGGTTGTTGTTGTCCTGAGCAAAAATTATGGTTGTGTTTCAGTCAGATTTATTCCTATCTTTTAGCAATATGTTAATTAGATTTGTTGGCAGATTGAATAAGATCAAATCAAAATAATTAGAGATTTAAATTTGATTAAAAAAATTAAATATTTATGTTGGAGGTATTTAAAAAACAAATCAAAACATAATCCTCTACAAATTTAGAAGTGATCAAATCTTATTCCCAATGGAGAAAAACCCATAAGTTGCATTGCTATTTAAGGAAACTCAAACCTAACATTTGAAGTGAGCTCATATATTGAAGATCTAGTGTGCTAGAGTTTGGTTCTTTGAGTCTTTGTAATTTTTTGTTTTTATACACCTCTATTAGAAGCCTAAACTGAATATTCAAGGCGTAGAGATTGATTATTAGTTGATTTGTAATTCGCAATCCTTAAATTATTTATTGTATTGATCACTAGGGTTAGTAGTTGAGAGAAAGTTAAAGGGGTTCTCATATTTAGGGGAAGTCCTAAATAGAAAGACACATGTAGTATTAAGAAGAGGGAAATTGAACAATGATTGTTCATCTAAGACACTTTATACTAATACTACTAAAAGTGGACTTCCTTTCTTATGTTAGAAGCCCCCCAGATGTAGGTATTGTTGCACTAAAATGGGTTAACAATTCTCTTGTGTTCATTATTAGTTTTATGATTTATCATTATGTTTTCTATTATCTATCAATTCTATTATAAGATGTTGAAGACATTAGCTTAGGAATCTGGTCCAACATTTGTCCTCCTGAGAACATAATTTAACATCTTGTGTGCATATATCCAAGCTTAATCTAAATTTGAAGAAATGCATCTTTGTCGGTTACACAAAAAGGTGTGAATGGGTTCAAGTTATGAGATCTGGTTTAAAAGAAGATGGTAATCCACAAAGATATTAATTTCGATGAGTAGTTAGTGTTAAAGTAGTCAATTGCAATAAACTTGTAAGCATTTAAAGGAGAAACTTCTAACAAGCAGGTGATTCAAGTGGATGTTGATATGTCACAAGTGAATAATATGTATGTAGTGCTTGAACCACAAGAGGAACCTGACTCGTATATTAAAACAAACCATATACACGAAGTTTCAGTTGGAATTCATGATTATATTCTTGTGCATGACAGAGAGTACCATTCAACCAAGCTATAAAAGATATGGGTATGAATATTTGGCAACTTGTGCACTTCTTAGTAATTATAAATACCCTTCCAAATTTTATGAGGATATAGCTAGCCATGACAAAGATAATTGGATGGGTGCAGTGATGGAAGGAATTCAGTTCTTGAAGAAAATCAGACATGAGAACTTGTTCAGACTATGTTGGTGATTAAAATGAACAAAGTGATTCTTCAATTATAAGGTGTGTTTATTCAAACTACGTTGGTGATACGGATGATAAAAGGCCCACAATATAATATGTCTTTACTTTAGCATAAGGACCTATTTGTTGGAAACCATAATGGCCATGTCGGCAACTGAAGCGAAGTACATGACAGCAAGTTAGAGTACACATCGGCAGACGGAGCTGCCAAAAAAGCTTTATGGCTTACAAGATTGGTGAAAGAATTGAGTGTTAAGCAAGGTGGAGTTCAGTTGAATTATTATAATTGAGTGCCATTTATTTAGCAAACAATCATATGTATCATGTTAGAACCAAACATATTTATGTAAGGTTTCACAAGATCAGTGAGTTACTTGTGTTTGGACATATTACTAGAAAATGTTCATACTTTAGAGAATGCACTTGTTATGTTGACCAAGCCAATCATTAGTGACAAGTTCAAGCATTGTTTGAACTTGTTATATGTTTCTTAGTATTAAGCAGGAAATGTACTTCCTTAGTTATCAGGATGTAATAGTCATGTAGGAAGTCTTCATATGAGTTGAATATTCGTCAAGGTGGAGATTGTTGAATATGATTCATATGTAGACAAAACTGGACACAATAAGAACACAAAAATTTAACATAGAAACTACAAACATGTCATAAACCCAACTGTTTGTTATGGGTATGTGATTGAAGGTGTGAATGCGGTTACGATTTATGAGTATTATTATAAATCGAGTCAAAGTATATATATTACTTTTAACACGGTAACCATAATTATCACATAATTAAAAAGAAACTATAGCGACTATACAATTCTAAAAAGGGTAATACTAACCAGTGTCATTGGAGCATAAGTTAAGAGATAAATATAATAAAAATTTATTGAAAATTGTATGTTGAATTTAATACAAATATATAATTAATGGTTTTATTATTTTTTTTCAATACAAATTTTTTATTTGTAAATTTTGTAACATGTCCCCCAAAAATACAAATAAGCATTACCCTTATAAGAATAGACACCATTAACCAAATTACATTAATAAAAATCAATTGTGTTCATTTTCATTCTTCTTATTTTCACTTCTCTTTAATTTTTTATATTAATTATTTTTCTAACACTTTCTTTTTCTTTTTGAATAATATCATCTATATTTTTTTTCACTAATAATGAATATTTCACAATTACATTTTGAAATTAAAAGTAATATAGAGCAATGCTTCTATATGTACAATCACAAATGTTTTGGATTTGGGCACAGTCGCATATGGAACAAAAAAAATTAATAGAAAAATAAAAAATAAATAAATAAATAAATAAAAATAAAATAATAATACTTTTTCTTTTTTGTTTTTTTGTTTTTTAATTTGTGTGAGTATACTACGTTCAAATAATTTTGATTTGTGACCATATATATAACCAGCTATGTCCTTGCTGGTTTTATTCACCTAGGAATAGTTTTCACTATTAAATTGTTAAGCGAGGAGTATATTTTTTAAACTTTTTTTCATCAAAATAATCATATCATACAGTAAACCATCTGCTTTAATTGTTTAATATTACAAGGCATAAAATTAATTTAAAAGATAAGAAATGCATTTTAATTGAGATGTAATTAGATTTTTAATATCCGATTTGATCAATATTTATTAAGTTAAATTGAGTGTTCATGTCGTATTTTTGAAACTAAATCCGAAGCATATCAACCTGTTTAATAGGTTAGATTGAGTTGGATTCGTATATTATCTGCAAAATTCAATTTAATTTTGTTCAAGAACAAAGTACATGCTAAAAATAGACGCAAAGGTCACGAGAGAAATTTAATTAGTCAACTTAGGTGTTTAAAGAATAATTAAGAATGTAAAGTTATCTCCTCCACAAACAATTATGTTAGAGTAAATAAAGAGTACTAGTACTAGTGGTATTAATACTCTCTATAGACTAGCTAGACACATTATACGTTCCTAGTGTGTAGGAGCATCTACACTCAACAAGGACAATATCAAACCTAAATTCAAAAAATGACCTTCTAATTTTAACAATTTGATTTCCAATTAAAATTAGTTTTCATAATTGAGTTACTTTTTATAATAAAGTAGCTCAGAGTCTGTTTTTATCTTTCTTAAATTTGATTTAGAATTTTTAATAAAGATGGAGAATTAAAACTTAAATTTGTTTTAAATAAATTTAAGTTGGATTTAAATATTTTTAGTCGGGAGAATATAATTCGTTCTCGCCGAATTTCACTCAATCTATCATGAGTTTAACAAAAAAAATTCCACTCAAATATTTTAAATAATAAATACACATATTTAATATTATGAATTATCAAAAACTAAATATAAAATACATAATAAAATAACCGAGATAAATTTAAGAAAAATATTAATGTCCCAATTACTCATACCGTCTTTATATTTTGTAATTGAAAAAAAAAATTTAATTTAAACTCAAATTCATACTCAATCAAAGAGAATTTTTTCTGTCAAATTTCGGACAGATTTTGATGGGTACTCCCAAATACGATTTATGTTGACATACCTAATATACAACAAAATAAAATATCTATCACTTCATTATGCTCCATTCTATTTTATTTTAATCAATTTAAATAATAAAATATCTCTTTGTTCCATCTCTTACCTCACTTTACTCTATCTGATTTCATCCATCTAAAATATAAAAGAATTCCTATAAAATGGAAAATATTCTTTATGTTTAGACTTTTTATGTAAAAACTCTATCAGTAAACACATATCCAATAATGACCTATTCATAAAAACTTGCCCTTATTTTAGGCTTTGTAATATACATACTTTTGTTTTTACATACTTTATGTTTAGACTTTTTATGTAAAAACTCTAAGAAGAAAAAACAAAGCCAACAATCATAATTAAATATATGTGTCTAAAATTTTCATCCATCTAAAAAATGTGAAATATGAGTGAAATGAAAAGAATATACAGACTCTACGACTTCAAAATGTAAAAAAATATAAAAATTTATATTAATATTCACGGCTACAAAAATTTTAAAAATGAGACATACATTAGAAATATACATACTTAAAAACTTTTTGCTCATTCTAAATAAACTAACAAAATCAACATGGACCTAAATTTTTTATCAAACCCTCACTAAAATAAAAGTAAAATGGATATGTTTTACAAACCAATCCATTTTGTTACTCTTATTTTATATATATATATATATATATATATATATATATATATATATATATATATATATATATATATATATATATATATATATATATATATATATATATATATATATATATATATATATATATATATATATATATATATATATATATATATATATATATATATATATATATATATATATATATATATATATATATATATATATATATATATATATATATATATATATTACAAAACAAGTGTTTAATATAAACATGTGATTATGTAAAAACAAAAGTATGTAACCAAAGTCGCATCTCATTATTCCATTCTACACTCTACTCTACTCTATTCTATTTAACACTCTTTACTTGTTCTTCTTCTTCTCTCTTTTTTCTTCACTTTCTTCCTCCATGGATTCCATTTCCATGAGATACCAAGAAGACCAAACCCCATCTTCTCTACCTTCCCCCAAGACTCATCAAATTCCCTCCCCAAGACCCATAACAAGATCCGAACCCGGAAACCCATACCCAACCACGTTCGTTCAAGCTGACACAACCTCTTTCAAACAAGTAGTCCAAATGTTAACCGGATCCTCGGAAACATCAAAACAAGCTTCTTCCAAACCAAACCACAACATTCCTCCAATCAACAACATACCCAAAAAACAACAACAATCCGGTTTCAAACTCTACGAACGAAGAAACTCACTTCATAAAAACCTTAACATAAACCCTTTATTACCCATTTTCTCATCCAACAACCACAACAACATCATCAACAACAACAACAACTCATGTTTCTCACCTCGTACTAAACAAGAGATCCTGTCCCCTAGTATCCTCGATTTTCCTTCTCTTGTTTTAAGCCCGGTTACACCTCTTATACCCGACCCGTTTGACCGATCCGGATCAAGCAGAAGCTCTTGTTTGAACGCCGAAGCCGAAGATAAAGCGATTAAAGAGAAAGGATTCTTTTTACATCCTTCACCAGTTTCAACTCCCAGAGATTCTGAACCTCGTTTGCTTCCTCTTTTTCCTACCACTTCTCCTAGGGCTTCAGGTCCTTATTCTGCATCTTGAATTTTTCTTTTTTTATTTTATTTTAATTTTGTTGGCATTGTTGCTAATGAAATTAAGGGATTGATTTGTACTAATGTTTTATTTTATGGAAGAGAATTGAATTGAATAATATTTTATTTGTATGATTTTTTTTACCCTTTGAATATTATTAGGGGGGAAATGTTAAATTTGAAAAAGGTTAATGGTGATTAATTTGAAGGTATTTAAGGGGGTGTATTTAAGGGTAGTTGGGGGTGTGAATAATAATAAATGTGGAATTGAAATGGTGAGGCAGTTGAGTTACTTTAGGTCGACGGCATTCATAATTAGTAGCATTAATAAAGTCTGTACTGATCAATGCAGTAAGTTTCTCTCTCTAGAGAGAGATAGAAGAATAGAGTTTTAGAGAGAGAGATATTTGCTAAAGCTTGTTTGGGCTAGCTGTCAAATTAAGAGTTTAGATTGAGGAAGGAATCTTTACTCTTTTATTGTATGAGTTTGTGATGTGCTCTATAACTATCTATTAGATTTCATTTGTAGTAGTACTTTGTATTGGACCAGGATTGTCTGGGTTATTTTGGTCATAATTTGAGGCATTCTTGCATATGTTAAATTTGAGATCGTTGGATCGAGATCAAATGGAGATCACCAAGGTTTCGTTTTGTTGTAATTTGTATTCGATCATGTCCGAGGTCATTATGGTCTTAATTTGATGCATTTACGTATTTGTTAAATTTAAGATCCGTTATAGAAAGAGTCTTTGGATGAGATAGCGAGTCTCTTTCTGTTTAATCAGAAATTTTGAATTTGAATCAAATTTTGTGCACTTTACATTTACGATTGTTATATTGAGATTAAACGGTTTAGATAATGTTTTTTTTTGTTTTAAAAATAATTCAAATATAAATTAATGTATATATGAATTATCTTATATTGATATCTACGTCAAAGTTGTTTTGATTTGAATGTGTGAATGTGTTAAAATTTTAAAAATTGTATTATTTTTTTTAAGTGATCTAATTTATTTTTATAAAATTGATTTGTAAGGTGAATATAATGTTTATATTTAGGAATTTTAAAAATATCTCTATCATAATATTTAATTAACTTTGATTCAGAATTAGTATGCTCTTAGATTATATACATTTTAATAATTTATTTAAACAAAAAGATTACATTCTATTTAAACAAATTAAACTTTTATTTTTTTAGACAATATTTATACATATATTTTGAGAAATGACGAATTTTGAGTTTAAATTTGTGACAAAACACATTATATGAGTTGTAATTAATTACACGGGTTTAAAAACCTTTCTAGGTTTTACTTAATATTTTGATAATATAACATAAATATAATTAAATTAAAAATAATCAAACTAAATATGAATAATCATCCTAGTAATGTAAAGAAAAATGAGAAGATTTCATAGTAATGAGAATATTAAATTGCAATTGCAATTATATTATAAAATTTGATAGTGTATTAAAATTGTAACAAATGCGAGTAATGTGGTTGAAATAGAAAAGTTAAAGATAATTATAAGTTGCGAAGTTTGGTTGCTAAAACAAGTCAAAGTAGGTTGATGGCATAGAGATAAGATCAATAAATGGATGATTTGAAAAGAGAACAAGTACAATACTAAAAAACATTCAAGTTTGATTTTTGTTTGATGGTAGGGACCCCGTATTTTAGGGTCGGGTAGCCTAATAAATGGAAAAGGCTTGAAAAACAATGATGCAAAAAGATAGTCTCAATTTTAATTTTCTTTTGACTCTAATGAGACTAGAATTGAAGTGAACGAATGGGAACATGTGAGAGTGAAGGAGGGAAGAGGGAGTGGGACTTGTGATGATGAGAGGGAAGAAAATATTGGAGGTAGAATGGAAAAGACATGGTGTTGAAGTAAACTAGTTTGTTTCTATGTCTTGTGTACATGATTTTTTGTGTGGACTTTGGGACTTTTGGTTGGTGGGGCATTTATTGTGAATTTGAAACTTCATCACATGTGCTCTTCTTCTTTGCTTTTGTTGCCTTTTGATTTGTTCAACTCCTTTTATAATAAATCTTTTATTTAATTTGTGCAAAGAAAATGACTTATTATGTCAATTTTAATTATATATATATATATATATATATATATATATATATATATATATATATATATATATATATATATATATATATATATATATATATATATATATATATATATATATATATATATATATATATATATATATATATATATATATAACAAATCGAATTTTAAGTCTGCATTTTTTATTATATCAATTCAACCTCATTTTATTTTACGGGCTTTTACAAAATGAGTTTAAATAAGACGATGGCAGAATATATAAAAAAAAGATAAGTAATTTGTTGGTGAGAGATGACAGGATAAATTCTGAATCGTTAAATTAGAAACATGAAAGATGACAGAATATATAAAAAAGGAGAGGATTCAAATCCCTAGTTTTGATATGCATGGCCTATTGTAAATTAAAATAAAATGAGTTGTGTTAGACATTAGGGTATAACTTTATTAAATCTCTAAATCTACTACAAATTCCACACTTTTTTATATATAAAAAATAAATAAGTATGATTTGTTATTTCTTACCATTATCAACTAAATTTGATTTATAAAATAAATAAAAATATTTTTTAAATATATTTAATATATAAATTGAAATATAATTAAATCAAATGACAAATTATATAAAAATGACAAAAAAAACTGCAGGTAGAGTTAAAGTAAATTAATGCATATTTTACAGTTTAGAGAATATCATATTATTTTAATAGACCTGTCTAATCTAAATATATGTTACTAAAAAGTATTTTATTGAAAATATTAAATCACAATCCATACAAAATAAGTAAATAAATGTTACAAATAAAACACATATTATGATATACTTTAACATTTATTGAGCCGGTCGGGCCATTTTTCTTTATTTTATTTTTTAAAAAAAAATTTATTTAAAAAGTTATATGAAATTATGACATGTGACATGTTTTGATTATAATCACTTTCAAAGCCCGTTGAATTTTTTACTACGTGATAACGAAATTTGAAGCATGACACGTTTGACTATGTCTTCACTACCTTTGAATTTGTAGGACACACCACTACTCATTCTCATCCATAAGATTTGTGTGTGTGAATAAAAGTTTTTTATTATTAGTATTAACCAAACATTCAATTAAAAAATATTACTTGATGGAGCTTTAAAGACAGAAATAAAAATGACAAATTTGAGTAACACAAGTTAAATATCTATAGGTAATTTGTGACATTTCAACTTTAATAGTCTCTTTTAGATTCTACCAATCATTTGTAGCTAGAAAAGAAATATTTGCAAAGGGTACCACTAATTGGGAGACACAGGTATTTAAATGGCGCATCATCAATCTTACAATTAAGGATACTATTTATTAATGTTTTTGGTAAATAATTACGAAAATATAAGGATAGTGAGATTAATTCGAAAAAATTTTAAAATAATTTGTGCAAATAATACACGTACGTGTGAATTGAATGCAGTCGTCGCGTGAACGATATTGACATAGTAAAAGACTTTAAATGAAGTCGGATTGTGATAAATAAAAAGGTAAAATACAATAAATGACATTAAACAAAGCAAAAGTAAAAGTACATACTCTGTTTAAGGAACAAAAGACTGGACGCAGACATATACATGTTTCTCGTTTAACTGTTTCGCTCTTTGACTCGAGTATTTTAGTGGTATGAAAATTATGTATGGAATTTTGCGACCCTTAATTCTATGTATGAGTATGCTATTTATTCTATTTTGCGACTCTTGACCCTTGATCCCTTTGGCCTATTGGGGAAGATTACGAACCTTCAGATGATACCGATTTTAGGTTTTCGAGCCATGCCTACAGTCCTTTATTGAAGATCATCGGGGCTCTAGTGAAGTCGACGTTCACGAACACATATCCTTTTTTTTGACTTACTGACTATGCCATTATGTCTTTTGTCCTCATGGGATCTAGATCACCAAGATGTAAATATCCTTGGCCACCCGACTTCGTAAGGGGGTGAATGTCTTCCTTAGCAAACTGATTATGGAAATCCTTTAAGAATCGTTGGGACATGTGTTTAACGGCCTTCAGTGAGAGGTCAATAGTTTTCAAATCAGGGGCCATATCTTCCTGTTATAGTTGCGCCCGAATGTCACTTTTGCTCATGCCCTTGATGTTCAAATCCCTCATAGCATCGAGGCAAGTGCTGAGGGTATGAGACTTGCTTGAAGCACTTCTGATAATGGAAATGTGGTGTCTAAAGATGCTTTTGAGAAATACTTTTTTTTTACAAATGTAACACTTTTGGTCCAACAATGACACCCTTTGTCGCTCGCCTGTGTGGTTTGACATGGTTTCGTGCACCATTTCCCAACTCTGCTACTGAAGAGGAGGAGGTCATTCATGGCGTTCTTTTGGAATGTCTTCATCATGCACCTCTGTGGACAAAACTTACCACAAAGAAAACTATGATAAGCCTCAGCTTATACCAGCCTAACCTGATGGCTAGGCAATTTGGCCTGGGCCAACTACTCCCCAAACCTTTGGTCGAGGATCTGCGGGGATTTATGGGAATATTTGATGCTTTTCGTTCAATGGTTTAATGGTTTAAGAAGGGGGATTTTAAATTGGTTTCTATTTTGTAACAAGAGTTTGTAAGAAATAAAACAAAGTAAAATTTGGTTTTAGTTTGATAAAAAGCATGCCAATATTAGGGTTCACTAATCTGTCTTAAACGTATCCAACCAATCAAATATGTGAACTTAGTTTTAACCAACATAATCGCGTATCCTCGCAAAAACGTTCATCTTTAAAGCGATTTCGTGAATGTTATTTTTTCGACCATTAAATGATCTCTCTAAATAACACTCGAAACAATAATCATTAAGATCAATACAATGCAAATATCAACTTCCAAATCTATGTCTAGAGTTTGTATAGTTGATAGATGAAGAAATTAGGTCAAGAC